CAGGCACGAATACAGGAACTGGGGCTCGCCCATGCCTTTCTCCAGCACCTTCAAAACAAGGAAGGAGCCCCAGCCGCGGCAGGAGCTGCCCCAGGCACACCCCGCGGGTCCAAGAGGCCACGCGTGTCCCCCCGGCTGCCAGCCCCGGCTTGTGGGAGCCCCTGCGGGTCCCTGCGCTCCGCGAAATCCAAGGATCAGGCTAATCCCGAGGCTAAAGTGACCCGTGGCTTGCCTGCGAGCCAAGCTGCTGTAGCAACAGCCCAAAATAATGCTGCAAAACAAGCCCGGGGGAGCAGCCGCCGCCTCTCGCGAGAGGGAAGCACCGGCTGGATTGAGCAACATTTTCTGCTGCCTCTCAACTGTGACTAAATCCAGCAACAGCCCCTTTTAGCCAGAGCCAGAACACAAAAAAAAACCCGAAAAAAAACCCAACAAGGAAAACAGTGGAAAAGCAAGTGGAGAGCATTCCCAGAATCGATCCCTTCCGCGGCGGAAGCTGAGTGGGCTCCAGCTCAGTTCCCACGTTCACGTATCCCGCTTTTCCCAGGCTGTGGGAGCCGGCGGGATGGATCCCTGGGGATCTGAGCAGGGTGTCCTGTGCCCACGGGACCGTCTGGACCACGCTGAGGTCACGCTGTCCCGCGCCAGCACCCAGACACTTAATGAGCCCTTTCTTCCGCCCCTGTGAGGAAACTCCCCGCGGCTCCGTGACTGTGTTTGTTTTCATGGGGTTTTCAGCTAATCCCTGTGTTTTATGGCCATGACTCTTTGCAGGCGCAGCCAAGGAGCCGAGCTGGACTCGGGTCCTCACCCCAGCCCTGACCTGGGACTCCTGGGTGGCCACCAGGGCTGGACAGTGGCACAAAACCAGATGTCCCCCTTCTTCTCCACTTCCACCCCGCAGCCACCTCCCCTCTTTCTTTCCAAGACTTAAACTCCCCAAAAAGACCTCTAGTGTATTCTGGTGATCAACACACTCCGTGCCAGGTCCAGCACAAGCCCCACCCCACTCGCCAACACCATTTGGCATCAACCACGCCCAGCCCAGCCCAGCTCCGGCCCCGCGGGGTCCCAGCGTTTCTCCTTCCCGTGCCTGGCTGCCAAAGGGACCCGAGCACTCACCGGGGGCGTTGGCGATGGCCAGGGGCAGCCCCTGCAGCTGGTGCACCTGGATCCCGGACGCTCCCAAGGCACTGAGGTTAATAGTCTGGAGGCCCGGCACGGAGGAGAGCTGGGCGGCATTGACGGTGACGGTGCCGCTGGGCAGGGTGGCGATGGGGGTCAGCGTGGTGCTGGTGCTGCCCGTCTGACCCAGTGACACTCCCTGCATGGGGGCCAGCGTGATTGTCTGCGCCTGGGGGTTCTGCACCTGCAGGTTCTGCAGCTGGATGGTCTGCCAGCTCACCTGCCCGTTGGGACCCACCGTGGGCGTGCGGATGATGATGGGGCCAGAGTTGGGCACGGCTTGGAGCTGCAGGTTCTGCAAGGTGTCTTGGGAGATGGCTTGAGTGGCAAAGGTCTGGCCAGACAGAGGGGTGGTCTGGAGGGCTTGGATTGTCTGCCCTCCTTGGACCAGCTGTGGCTGGATCAGAATCTGCTGCTGCTGCTGCTGCTGCGACTGCTGACCCTGATCCCCCTCCTTCTGCTGCCCTGGCTGCAGGGCCACCCCGGACACCGGGGTCTGCAGAGAGTCCGAGCTGGGGACGCTGCTGGCCCTCTGGGGGGTCTGCGCCTGCACGTTGGTGCCCACCGTGGCGCTGGTGGAGAAATTCATGACGCCCACGTTACTGGTGGTGGTGGTGGTGGAGTAGCTGTTGGCATTGGTGAAGAAGGCGCCTGAGCTGGCCTGGGACGTGGCCGTGCTGCCCGAGCTGCTGGCAGCCCCCGAGGTGGCAGGCTGGGAGCTGCTGTCCGGCGAGCCCGAGCTGCTCAGGGTGCCCGTCTGGGACGTGGGGGCCAGGCTGGCAGCCACGCTGTTGACCGGCAGCAGGGTGATGTTGCCGTTCAGGGCCACGGGCACGTTGGCCACATACTGGGTCTGCCCAGAGAGGCTGTTGTTGGCCAGCCCCACGCCCTGGATGGGCACGGCCTGCTGCAGCAGGTTGGGCATGGCGATGAGATTGCTGCCGCCCGCGCGGCTCGTGATGATCTGCTGGTTGGAGCCGGGGATGATCTGCAGCTGCCCCGAGGCATCCTGCTGCACGTTCACCTGCGCCGGGGTGGTTGCAAACTGCAGCTGCTGCCCGTCGATGGTCTGGAACTGGGGAATCACCTGGTACTGGATGTTGGGGATGACACCCGGCAGGCCTGTGAGCACCTGCTGGTTCTGCAGGCCAGACGCCGAGGTGACCACGTAGGGCCCGGTGCTGACTGGGCGGCTCTTGGAGGCGTCACTGCCGTTGCTGCCATTGCTGCCCGGCTCCTTGGAGCCCGTGGGGGTGCTGGAGCCCGCCGAGATGATCTGCCAGCCGTTGGCCGACTGGGTGAGCTGGGCGGCGGCCGCATTGAGGTCCAGCTCACCACTCCCGCCCTGCTGGCCCTGGGAGCTGTTGGAGTTCTCATTGGGAGACTCGATGCGGCTGCAGGTGGCTGCCAGCAGAGCCAGCGGGGATGGCTGTGACTCCTGGGGATGAGAGGAGGAGTTACCAGGGTGGAAGGCGGCCCGAGGGGCAGGCCCGGAGTGGAAAAAAAACAAAGGGGGAAACAACAACAAAAAAACCTTAAAAAAAGAAAATAGGGAGGAGCGTACTTGGTAAAGATAAACACTCCTTCCTGAACAAACCTACCCACAGCCGGAAAAATACAACTGCCAGGCACAGGGCTGTCAGGCGGGGACAGCCCGAACCCACAAGGGAGGAAAGGGGAGGGAGCCTGCCTGGGAAAGCCAAGAGAGGAGAGAGCTCCTCCACCCCAAAGGCAGGGAATCCCCCTGAAGCACAACAAGCCCCCGGGAAGGAGGGTGGTTCCTGGGCTCCACAAGCTGGAGAGGGGCCAGCGGGGGCCGTGGTGTCACAGGGGAGCTGCGAGTTTCTGAGGAGAGCCGGGGAGGAGGGGAAGCCACAGGCGCTGCTTGGCAGCGCTCACCCTCCTCTTCCTGCCCGCGCTGAAACGCTCGCCTGGGCCCAGCAAACAGCTCGGCCCGGCCCTGGACTTTGCCACGACTTCCCCGGGGCCAGCAGGGCCGGGCGGGGGCCGATCCTCCCCCCACTCACCTGGGCCTCCCCACCGCCGGCACTGCTTGTGCTGCTGGCGTCGCCTTCGCCCTTGTCGGGCTTCACAGCCGACATCTCCTCGGTGCTCTCTTGGTCTGCGCAGGAGGGAAGCGACAGCCCTGGTTAGGGACATTTCGGGGCAGGGCAGCAAAGCGAGGCTCGGGAGGGCCAGGCAGGGCCCCGAAGGGACACGGCAGGCCGGCTCTGGGGGGACCATGTGCTCCTGGTGCAGCCGGGAAGGGGCTGCGAAGAGCAGGGAGCTGCCAAAGGGGAGCTGGCAGCGGGACGGGGAGGGGAGGACCCGGCCGCGCTCCAGGGCCCAGCTCCTCCCCACCAGCTCGGGACACTCCCTGGCCCCCGCCGGGGTCCTCCCCGGGCCTCCCCCTCGCCTTGCCCGCCGGCCGGGGCACACACCTCCCGCCGCGGCCCCGCGGACCCACCCCGGAATTCCCCCGCGTGGGTCCGGCCCGCGGGATCCCCGGCCCGGGGCCGCCCCTCCCGCGACCCGCCCAGCGCGGGGGTCCCCGCTCCCACCAAATCCTTCCTCTCCCAGCGCTCAGGAGCCTCCTCGTCCTCCGCCGGCCACCGGGGCTGCATCCCCCGGTCCTGCCCTCTACCTCAGCACCCCTCACCGGGGTCTGCACTGGGGAGGGGTCGCTGAACGCGCCCCGGCCGCTCTCACCTTCCCACCGCCCTCCCGCACAACCCCTCCCGCCCCCGGCTCCCGCATCCGCCCCCGCAGGGCGCCTTGCCCGGGAATGGGGGAAAGCCCCCCGGTGCCTGCGCTCGCAGCCGCCCACCCCCACGACC